TCTGGGGCACACAGTTTTCCTTTGGCCTCAGGCCTCATTATGGCTTTGACCACCTGCCTCATTTCAGTTAATCCTCAAACATCCTCAGGCACCTTGTTCTCCAACCTCCCTGCCAAGGAGAGAGGAAGGAAGGAGCTTGCTACAGTCCACAGCTGGTGAGTAGTGGAGCTGGGATTTGAACCCAGGTCTAGGATTGGAGACCCTGCCTTCACACTGCACCTTTCAGCAGTGTAGCCTGTAGTTGCCCAGGAGGGTCAGTTTAGGTCTCTGAAGTCTTCTTTTCAGGGAGGCCACAGCCTCACTGTTACCAGGACAGATGCGAACGTGCAGAGTTCACTATGAAATTTGGCAACCTGGGCAACATGGCGAAACCCCATCTCTACAAAAAAATATATATACATACAAAAATTAGCCAAGCATGGTGGTGTGTGCCTATAGTCCCTGCTACTCAGGAGGCTGAGGTGGGAAGATTGCTTGAGCCCAGGAAGTGGAAGTTGCAGGTGAGCTAAGATCAAGCCACCACACTCCAGCCTGGGTGACAGAGTGAAACCCTGTTTCAAAGGCGGGGCACTGTGGCTCACACCCGTAATCCCAGAACTTTAGGAGGCTGAGGCCAACATGGTGAAACCCCATCTCTACTAAAAATACAAAAATTAGCCAGGAGTGGTGGCACATGCCTGTTGTCCCAGCTACTCGGCAGGCTAAGGCAGGAGAATTGCTTGAACCCTGGAGGCGGAGGTTGCAGTGAGCCGAGATCACGCCACTGCACTCCAGCCTGGGTAACAGAGCATGACTCTGTCTCAAAAAAAAATAAAAAGAAATTTGCTTCCTCCCCTGGAAGTGCTTGCCATGAGCTACGCTGAGGCAATGGGAGGGCCATCACTGAGTGAAACACCCCCGTGTGCCGTAGGAACTTGCCACTCAGGCCTCTCATGTCCCCAAATGAATCCATCTGTGAAAAATTTACTTTAAAGCTAAGAGTTAGAAAAATAATTTGGTTCCCCCAAGAAATAGGTATATTTTTTCTTCATGGACAGTGAGAATGTAACTGATTGTGCTTTCCTCTTTGCTTTGGCCAGCAGGAAATTCAAAGCCAAATTTGCTGCTGTAAAAGAGTAGTTGTATAGGTTCTTGCTTATTTGTTGTTGTTTTTTGGTTTTTGGTTTTTTTTTCTTTTTTGAGAAGGAGTCTCACTCTGTCACCCAAGCTAGAGTGCAGTGGAACGATCTCGGCTCACTGCAACCTCTGCCTCCCGGGTTCAAGTGATTCTCCTGCCTCAGCCTTTCAAGTAGCTGGAACTACAGGCGCCTGCCGCTATGCCCAGCTAATTTTTCTTTTGTATTTTTAATAGAGACGGAGTTTCACTATATCGGCCAGGCTGGTCTTGAACTCCTGACCTTGTGATCTGCCTGTCTTGGCCTCCCAAAGTGCTGGGATTATAGGCGTGAGCCACTGGCCCCAGCTGACTGTTTATTTGTATTTTTATGTTTCCTATAGTATCATCCCTCTGCTAATTTATGTTTGTCCTGATGGTTTTCAAATTTTTATTTAGATGTTACTGTTTTATCAGGTATATTTCCTGATGGTCACTTAAATCTTTGCGAACATGTTAAGAAATACACTTTTTGCAGGAGGTATAAATTGCTTGGCCTGTGCTTGGATGGATCATTCATCTCACCCAAATCACAAAGGTAGCAGCACTAGCATGGGTTATTCTGGGGCCACATTCAGAGCTGGTAACCCCCAGCTGAGTCTGGAGACCTTTGCCTGAGCCTGGACTCCCTTTGCTTAGAGGAAGTAAGAAGTGGGCTGGGGACCAGGCGCGGCCATTCCCACCATGCAGAACTGCTCACCCAAGCCTCATTTTCCCAGTGTACATGCAGAGGCTGGCCAGAAGACCAGCTAAGGGCCTGCAGGGAGATTCTGTTCTGCTCAGAATTCTCCACCCACAGTTCTAGCCTTGGGCTTTGTGTTGCCAAACGGGCTATCTTCAGAGCCAGCCGAGAGCACACCGGGAAGGCATCTTTCGGACCCAACTTCCACCCGCCTTTCTGCCATTGTTCCTTTATAGAGCGCCCTCCACCTGCCATGCCAGGCGTCTGTTGCTGGATGCTCTGAGCCCTGTGAACATCACCGTCAAAGACAGTAGTAATGAGTTGATACTTCCGGGGGTCTTTACATTTTAAAAGGCGGCCTTAGGATAGGGCACTGTTTAACCTAAAGATAGGAAGAAGGCTGAATGGTGACCTTTCAGGTCTCGGAGTATCTGGGTGAGGGAAGAGGTTTCTGTTTTGCAGGTGGCAGGGAGATGTATGCTTAATGGGGACAGAGAACCTTCCCAGAACCCATGAATGCTTCTGGGTGGGTCTGCAAATAAGTGTGACGTGAATCTGACTGTCAAGCAAGCAGCAAGGGGCAGTCATGGGGAGGGAGGATTAGGAAAGGGGAAGGTCAGGGTCTTGCTCATCCCAGCCGAGGGCACTTTCTCAGTTCCTTCTTCATAAACCTGGACTGTTTCTCAGGCCTTCCGAGGAGGCTGCTACCTGGGTCTTCTCTGTCCTGAGAGTGAGTCATGAGAGAAGGAACATTCCTCTTCCAGGGATCGCCACCCACACTCAGCAAACCACTGTCCCCTACACTGGGCAGAGGGCATCTCCCAAGGAGAGCCTGGAACTCATCTCCCTCTGCCTCCTTCTTCTTCCCAGGGAAGCCCTATGGGGCGGATGACTTCCTGCCTGTGCTCATGTATGTGCTAGCCCGCAGCAACCTCACGGAGATGCTTCTCAATGTGGAGTACATGATGGAACTCATGGACCCCGCCCTGCAGCTGGGGGAGGGTGAGTCACCACCCCCGACCCATCGGGTGCATTGCACATCCCCAACTCAGCCACACCATGGGCACTCCAGGTGGCCCAGTAGCACCTGCCGGATACCAGACTCACTGAGCTCTGGAGCTATGAATGTGAATGTGAATCCTACACAGGTCCTATCTGGCAGGAGCTCACAGATTAGGAGAAAACATGAGCCAGTCCAGAGACTGTGCCACCTCCATGTAACAAGTGCTGGAATAGTTGGAAGCCCAGAAGGCATGGGAGCATGTTACCCAGACTGTGTGGTCAGGGAAGGCTTCTTGGAGGAGGTGACTTCTGAGCTGAGCAATGAAGGATAAATAGGAGCCAGCTGATAAAAAAGGGAAAAGGTTTTTAGTAGGAACAGCAGGAGCTGGTAATGTAAAAGATGGGGTGAAGTGGCATGTAGTGCTCACAGTAAGTCTGACAGAGAGTGATGATTAGTTCTTAGATAGGGGTGGTCCCAGGCCCCTTACTCATAAGCCCTGGGTCAGAACCTCTCATCAGGGGGAGGTTAATGATCTGGGTAAGAAGCCCTGCACTCCCCAATAGGATGAAGGCAGAGGTGTGGTTTGGTCCACCCCATGTTCAGTTTCCCTTCCCCTTTTCTCCTTCTCACTACATCCTCCCACCCACTTAGCCTCAGCAGTCTGTCTACCAAGAATTTTTTGAGGGGCAGCCACCCAGATACCAGCTCTGACGGAGCCCTGACTTCTCCTCTGAGACATCAGCCTCAAAGGATGGAACCATCCTCCCAGGCCCTGAGGGTCCCCCTTGGGCTTTGTGGTTCTTGAGATGAGCAGACTCTCTTGGCATCTGTTCGCATTTTTTTGCATGTTCCAGTCTCTGGGGTGATAGTTTGATAAGATAGTTCCGTGAGTTGTTGACAGCTCAGGGGAGCGTGTTAAAGCCATGACATTTGCTGTCATATATAACTTTGGCTTGTGTCACTGGGACCTCTGTATCTACCTTTTTTTCTCTTTAGTTAAAAATGTCCTGTAATTGGAACAAGTAGTCTTCCAAGAGGTCCAGGTATTCGAGAGAAGCCAAGGTTTCTTCAGCCCAGTGCAGCCATATACTCATCCATCTATTCATCTATCTATCCATATAGCCATCTCTCCACCCACCCGTTCACCTTCCCATCCATCCATGCATCCACTCATCCATCCAACCACCCAGCCATCTACCCATCCACCCACCCATCCATCCGTCTGGTCATCCACCCACCCATCATGCATCCATCTAGCTATCCACTCATCCACCCACCTACCCACCCATCCACATATTCACTCATCCATCCACATATTCATCCACCCATCCACATATCCATCTACCCATCCACCATTCATACATCCACCCACCCATCTGTCATTTATTCATCTATTCACCCATCCACCTACCC